TATATTATAATATTATACATTATTTACAATAGCATGTAGCATGTCCATGAGAACCTAATAAGAATCATAATTGAAAATAGTGACAATTTTAGAAAATGTTTATTAAATTAAATTTCATAATATTATTTTACAATGCACACAACCTTAAGTGTCCTAAAAATAGGCCTTATTTTTGTTATGCTAAATCTTATTGTATATATATTTTTTTAGGGGTTGAAATTTGACCTGGACACATTCTTTTTATAAGATAAAAAAAAAAACTTGTCTGTCAAACATTTCAATCGAAAACTCTCTGATGTGAAGTACAATCTGAACAAAGCCGAGCCAAGGTCACTAGTGGAAACCCGTTACATAAAACCGATCAATATTCTAGAACTAGATCAGCCAGTTTCCCCCCAGGGACGGAAAAAGCCTCATTTCAGGAATTTAACACTTCTCCACACTACGATCAATGTGTCTCAGGCCTGTTTTTCTGCTCTCCTTTATGTGGCTCTAACACACAAATTCATAAAACAAAATGAAACAGAGAGCAAAAGTGGAGAATATATTATCTGTTAATAATCAAACCATAATTAACCTCAATGAAAGAAATAATTAAAAAAAAAACTTAAAGTGGCTTTACTTACTGATTAAATCACAGCCAGGTTATTGCTTTTATAGTTAGCATAATTAAAGCTAATTACCATGGTTAAAAAGCAATATAATCTCTCTAAAGTCCCATAAATGTTGCTTTTTAGATTGACAACCAGTATTAATTAAAGCAGGATTTTTACAGCTAAAGAAAGCTTAATTACCTCATGGCTATAAATAACTTCTTAAAGAGCTGAAATAATTAAGCAACTGAATTAAGAGTGCATTGGTCAAAATCAGTTAATTTTAAAATATATTCTGAGTCATACATCTTTTATATATCTTTTTTATGTTTTCCCTAAACTAATTACATTTTTCGTGACCATTTTATCTGCTATTTTACTCCTACAATTAAACAGGCCGTTTTTTTGGTTGCAGTTTCTTTAAATGAACACTCCACTATTTTTGAAAATAGGCTCATTTTCCAACTCCCCTAGAGTTAAACAGTTGAGTTTTACCGTTTTCGGATCCATTCAGCCGATCTCCGGGTCTGGCGGTAGCACTTTTAGCTGTAGCTTAGCATAGATCATTGAATCTGATTAGACCGTTAGCATCTCGCTCAAAAATTACCAAGGAGTTTCTATATTTTTCCTATTTAAAACTTGACTCTTCTGTAGTTACATAGTGATGTACACAATGATATTACGCAGCACCTGAAAATAGTCCCCAGCACGCTCCCTGTGTAAGCAGGTGGTCACGTTGGTGATCTTGACAGAAGTTAACCTATTTTCAGGCGCTGCGTAATATCATTGCGCCTGCTGCAC